TTAGTTTTCTTGAGTGACTTGTTGCAGAACCACGAGAGGAGCTGGGGGGAGGCTGCAGGGCCATGTGCATTGGTGGTCCAGAAAACCAAGAGGCAGGTGGTAACACTCTGCTGGTTTCCATCCCTAAACCACGAATTACTGAGGTCTCTCTCTCTCTCTTCCAGGTTGCTCACAAACTTTTTAGTAAACTGAAGTGAAGGTGGGCGTGAACGTCCACCTGCTTCCACAGCCGGTGTCAGCGGTTCCTGGATCACAGTTCTGCTTCCTGCCGTCCATCCTCCATGCTGAGCATCAACAAAACGGCTTCCTGGCAGCGTGTCACTGCCTCTGTGCTCCTGGAAGATGTGAAGTTGTGCAAAAAAAACGTGTTGATGTTCTGTAATTTTCCATATTAAAATGTTCAGAGTTCCCGTGGAAGTGCTTTCTGTTTATTTCCAGGTTCTTGTGCTTCTGATTTGCACTGGGTTAAGGTGAAATCAGTGGGTGTCAGAGCCCAATTTAGCAGAAAGAGTCATTCTCACTTGTGGGAGTATCCTTTTTTTTCAGCCATGATATGCAGCAGCTGCAGCCCAGTCCCACGGGGAAGAATTTATCTGTTGGAGCCACAAAGATTATTTTCAAGACCCTTTTCTAGGAAAGAAAACTTCCTTCCCCACCCTTGGGGGAAAGCTGTCACTTGTCCCTCACTGTCTCCTGTTGCTGCCAGTGGCTGGAAGAGCCTCCTGGCTGCAGCCAGCTTTACTTTCTTGCCCAGGAAACCAACAACGTGGCTGAGGAGGTGTATGGTGTTGGTTCACCTCAAACCCTGACCAGGTCACCATAAAGCCTTTCTCTGTGAGTCACCAGCCCCTACTGGTCACCTGAGACTGTCCTGTCTGTGCTCTTCCTTTTGTGAGCAGGATGTTCAGTAGCAGGAAAACTAGGACATGTCACAGGGCAGAAAAATTCTCAGCTGTTCTTGGAAGTGGAATTAAGCCTGCCACCTTTTTAACTTGGCTGTTCTTTACCCATGTAGTGGTCCATAGTCTTTTTGCTGGTGGATTTCAATCTTAATCCCTAGAGGACTGAAACAGATTTTTATTAGGGTCAGGGTAACGTTACTTTCAGGAGTTTTTGTGGTGCGAGGTCCAGC